CTCTACAAAAAACAATCCCCCTCCAACACACAAAAATGTAGCAGGGTGTGATGGCACACACTTGTAGTCCTAGCTACTGCAGAGGCTAAGGCAGGACGATCGCTTAAGACCAGGAATTCAAGGCTATAGTAAGCTATAATTGTATCAGTGCCCTCTGGCCTAAGCAATGGAGTGAGACTATCTCTAACAACAACAACAAAAAACACAAACAAACAAAAATTGAGTTAGTTAGATATTTAAAGATGTTTCGCTTTTCCTTTTCAGTGGGGCTTCGTTTTTTTGGCACAAAGAAATATTCTGACACTTCCCTGGAGCTCCATAGATGATTAAGTTTATCTCTTATAAAGGTTTCCTTTAAGACAACAGTTATATCTTCAAAATTGTTGCCTTGTGTTTCATGAAAGTACGTTAACAAGTATGTTAAAATTCCTTTAATTTTCCCACTTTATAACTTATGATAAATCTTAGCTGTGACTTCTTTCAAATGATTTCATGGAAAGGAGAAACTCAAGGTATGTGGTAGGCATTGAAGGTGAACACTGAAATGAGGATTGGGGCTAGTTGACTGGAACTGTGTCATAGGAAAAAGTGGTCTGCGGAAGTGGAGACTTTGAGCTGTGTGTACCCCTCTCTTGTTTTCCTTTTGAATAGCACTTTTGTGATGATTAATTTATGGCTCAGCACCATCTTACATTCCCTTTCATCTTCAGACTCTGCAAGTAGAGCACGTTCAACAATTAGAACTGAGTTTTTCCCCTTCCCTTATATATTTTAGAATTCATGTAACAGTGACTTTTGTTGTATCTGTTAGGGTGTACTGTTGCAAAGCACTCATAGATCTAAGCAATATCCTTGCTGTAATGACACTTAGAAAGCCTGAATCTATATGGTGGATGATATGGTTTGGCTGTGTCCCCACCCAAATCTCACCTTGAATTGTAATAATTCCCACATATCAAGGGAGGGCCAGGTGGAGATAATTGAATCACAGAGGCAGTTTCCCTCATTCTGTTGTCATGATAATGAATAAGTCTCACACAATCTGATGGTTTTATAAACATGAGTTTCCCTGCACGAGCTCTTGCCTGCCACCATGTAAGATGTGACTTTGCTCTTCCTTTGCTTTCCACCATGATTGTGAGACCTCCCCAACCATGTGGAACTGTGAATCAATTAAACCTCTTTCCTTTATAAATTACCCAGTTTCAGGCATGTCTTTATTAGCAGCATGAAAGCAGACTAATACAGTGGTCTTTCCATATAAATGGGGAAATGTGTTGCTGCATTAATTATAATGGCCACAAAAATAAGATATAATCATGACATGAAAGTGATATTCAGGAAGAACTTCACTTTGGGGGGACATATTCTGTACTTTCAGGCTTATTCTCACTACAATGCTCCTGTTGCTCATTATAGGATTTAAGTGATATAATTGGTAGACCATTGCATTTGTTTGTTTTCACACTGCTATAAAGAACTTCTTGAGATTGTGTAATTTACAATGGAAAGAGGTTTAATTGACTCACAGTTCCACATGGCTGGGGAGGCCTCAGGAAACTTACAGTCATGGTGGAAAGGGAAGCAAATACATCTTTCTTGACATGGCAGCAGGAGAGAGAAGTGCCAGCAGGGGAAATATCAGACACATAAAACCATCAGATCTCATGAGGCTTACTCACTGTCACGAGAACAGCATGGGGAAACCACCCCCATGATCTAATCACTTCCCATGAGGTCTCTTTCCCAACTGGTGGAAATTACAATTTGGATTACAATTTAAGATGAGATTTGATGGGGACATAGAGCCAAGACCATATCGACAATAAAACTGGAAGATTATAAAAGACATTATAGTGTATATCCCTATCAGATGTGTAATCTCTATCAGAATGTATGAATATTTTGCTCTGTTGAACCAAGTCTTCAGATATGACACTGACTTCTTCCATGATACTGAAAGGCTTCATGTGCTTAATAAATTCTTCTAAATTCTGAGCTGGAGCTAGATTTGCCTGTCTCATTGCATTGCCTTGAAACCAAAAGGAAACCCTGGCTACCACAGTACATCTCAGTAGTTTCATCAGAAAAAAAATTAATAGTGAAGTCCAAAACAAGAAGAGCAGCCAAAAAAATAGTAAAAAAAGTTTAAATGGGTGAAAAGTCACATCAATGCATCCATGCAAATTATAAAACCACCCATTTATATATAATTAATTACATAATTTCAAATTATTCTCATCTTTTTTATTAAAACCAATCTCTCTTCCTTTAGAATCTGTAGAAGACAACATTGATGACATTTAGTTTTCGTTATTACATGCACCTGAACACCCCGTTAAACTACTGTTTAATCAAACTATGTTCATACATACAACATACAAAACCACTGATTGGTCTCCCCTCCAACGATCTGATTTTAGAAGTTTCAGTGTTTAGCAAGTGTTTAAATAATACCAAACAATAAAAGATACTTTGTACAGCAAATGTAAATCTTGTACCATTTCTCTGAAACATGTAGGTTTGACTAAATTTTATATAAGGCTTAGAAATCCTGATCTAATTTTATATAGATCCCATTGCATGAAGGTCTGACATGCCCTATGGTAGAGCCGTTTACATCTTCTCAGAGTCTGAGATTAAGGAATTTTGAATGAAAAATAAAAATATGGTGCAACTGAAATGTTTCATCAACGTGGCCTGATGTTCTGACTGCTTTATTGGATCTATCTGGTTTGAAACAGATGAACCCCTACTAATTTTTTTCCTTCAGAACAAAATGAAAGAAACCATAGTCATACAGACAAATGGAGAAGATGATGAACACAGAAAAATTATGCAAAGATAATCACTAAACCTTATATTGACCTTTTTAAACCTTCTTTCTCTTCAAAACTTATACCAAGGCATTTTAACAAATCACTTAATGAACATGATGCTTTCTTTAATGAAGACGCAGATGGAAGGGATCAGAAATCAACATATAAATGAATCAACCAGAAGAAAACACCAATTTTGAAAACAGTTGAGCATTATTCTATACCTCTAGCTATTCTTTTCTGAAGCATGAATCAGGATAATTACTGTCACTCACATACGTGAGTATGAGTTAGAATGCTCAATTGCCAAGTAAAAATATTCCTGCTTTTGCTATGTTTTCCTTCATGTGAATTTTCTTCTCTTTATTTGTTGTCAAAAGGTGTCTAGAAAGTGAAAGGTTTTCAATATAACTTTGAACTGTACAGGTCCATTTAGGTCAGGTGTCCCCAAACTTTTTACACAGGGGGCCAGTTCACTGTTCCTCAGTCTGCTGGAGGGTCGCCACATACTGTGATCCTCTCACTGACCACCAATGAAAGAGGTGCCCCTTCCTGAAGTGCAGGTGGGGGGGCCGGATAAATGGCCTCAGGGGGCCGCATGGGGCCCACGGGCCGGGCCGTAGTTTGGGGACGCCTGATTTAGGTAGTGGCAAAAATAAAGAATCTGCAGAACAAGCTAGGCTTTTATTTAATTCATTCTTTTGAAAAAGATAACTTGTTTTAATATTGAACCATCCTTACCATTAGATTTGAAATAAAGTTAACTAGACAGAAACCTGCCTATATCTAATAAGTTGCAAAGACAACAAAGGTATCACATGAATAAATGCACGTGAAAGCACAACATCTGTAATGTAAATAAAAGTGTAATTATCTTCATATCACCCTTTCTATCTAGAAAGGGCAACTCTGAGAAGGTGGTAGTTTTGTTTTTAAGAAGTTTCAGCACCACTCCCCTGTGTAAGGGCTATTTTTGTGTTTAGAATATGTTGGTAGAACTAAGTAAACTAATATGTGTTCTGTCTATATATCAGGTAGGTAAAGGGTTTGTGGATGACTGCTGCTCTCTGGCCTACTCCATTTTACTTCTTCTATGTCATAGTTTATCTGCGTAAACAGTGATGGTCTAGGCATAAAGCCTGCTATGCTATCATTACATGTGACATTTATATAGAAACTAATATATGCTTATATTTGAGGCCTGTTGAAGCAGTGAAGGGTTTTTGAAATTAGTATCTACTTGAAATAATAAGCTAAATCTCATAATTCAAGGACAGATTTAGCTCCCAATTAGAAACAAGAGCTGGAAGAAGGAGCCACTCAGCTAAAGGTGCTAAGTCCACAGTATTAAAGTTATAGATAACATAAAGATAAAACTGTTAAATGAATCTAAGTCTGTTAAAATAACAGAGACATCAAAATTCTATCCCAAGAAATTGGGGTAGAAATCTGGAAAGAAAATTAAAGATTAATCTTCAATAATAACTTGCTACCTCTTATTTGCCCACTGTAATATATTTATGTATTATTCAATAGTCAACATCCTATTTTCTATCCTGGTTTTCTTTGTGTTTCAGAAGGCAATTTCTTTTTGAAAAGAAATCTGAGGACTTTTGATTACCCAGATACCACATTTAAAATTCAGCTAATAACATAACTACTGAACTCTCTAATTGTAACTATTTGGGGCCAGTGTTACTACCTCTCTCTGAGAACTCGGGTCTGAATTCAGTGATCACAAATACTTTAATAAAGATGTATATAGATGATTTTAGAGATTCCCCAGGCATTTATTGCAACCTGAAACACAGCAGAATACATGGATAGAAAGTACTTTTCATTCAATCAAATAGCCACTACCCACAGTTACATCTTAGCCATTAAGTTCAGATGGCAAACCTGACATCAGAGGAAGAGGAAAGAAGAGACTGGAGAAAAAATGCTTTAAAATAATAATTACGGACCAAGGGAGCTTCAGAAAGATAAGTAAGTATAATATAATATTTTTGTTGTGTAAGCTTCTTGAGTTGAGTCTGGGGAAAAGTCTGCAAACTACACAGTATTAAAAGAGGCAGCACATTAGAACCACAGGGGAAGCACTAGTATTTGATGGGAAAGAACGGAGAGCACCATTTTTTCTGCTTGTGGTATCCAGTTAAGAGTTCCCTAAAGCAATCTTACCTTTGTTTTCTGCCTTCAGTTCCTCTGCCATCAAGCTGTCTTGTCGATTTCCAAGCACAAACGCGAGAAACGAGAGGATCAGGGCATCCAAAATTCCGATAATAGCCAGGATGTATGCCCAGCGGACTGAGCAAGCCCCAAGAGTGTACTTGTCTGTCTTTTCTCCACACATCCGCTTTACTTCATCTGAGTCCCAGCCATCAGGGAAAATCATACAGCCAAGCACAAGGCAGGCAGCTTGGAGAGAAAGAGAGAAAAACAAAAGAAAAAACGTTAACAAATTTTAACTTAGCAAATGTTTCCATTGTCTGTCAAATCACTGTTTCAAATTTTTCTTGATTTAAAAAACAGCAAATCTCACCACTTTCACTCTGTGTGTGTGTGTGTGTGTGTGCGCGCGCACGTGTGCATGTGTGTGTTTTGCTGGTTAAGTTAAAAGCAGCCCAGCATTCTACATTGAATGGAACTCTGGAAATTGACTTTACAGTGAGACTGAGCATCCTGAAAGAGGTTAAGGTAGGTTGATCTGTGAGAAAACGTTAAGAAATGGAATTTTGGGGTACATTTGTGGGAAGGCTTCCATTACAAATAGGTCATAAGGAATCATAACACTGTAAAATAACAATTCAAGTCTGGCTTTGAGGAGCTATGACAGCAGCCACAAAAGGATGACATGGTAAACACTAGAGTGTGTGCCAACTTTGAATCACTATAAAAATAGTTTTATATTGGGATCCCCCTTCTCCCCTGCCACAGAAAAGTTTTGTTTTCTCTCCTTCTGCTTTTATTTTATTTTATTCTATTTTCTGGAACAGCTATAGAGAAAGGGAAACTATAATACACTGTTGGTGGAAATGTAAACTGGTACAGCCATATGGAAAACAATATGGAGGTTTCTCAAAAAATTAAAAATAGAACTACAATATGATTCAGCAATACCACTACTGGGTATGTGTCCAAAGGAAATAAAATCAGTATGTCAAAGAGATATCTAAACTCCCATGATTATTACAGCACTCTTCACAATAGCCAAGACATAGAATCAACCTAATATCTATCAACAGATGAATGAATAAAGAAAATGTTATATAAGTATGTACTATTCGGTCATCAAAAGAATGAAATTCTTTTATTTGCAGCAACATGAATGAACGTGGAGGACATTATGTTAAGTGAAATAAGCCAGGCACAGAAAGACAGATACCACATGATCTCACTTATACATGGACACGAAAGGAGTTGATCTCATAGAAATGGAGTAAAATAGTGGTTATCAGAAGCTTGGGAGGAACTGGGGAAGAAGGATAGGTAGAGACTGGTTAACAGGTACAAAGTTGTCTCACCACAACTTACTGAACAATACAGGAATGGATACCTACTTTCTTCCTTTTTAGGATTATACATGGCTCTACAGGGCAAGTCTTGAGGAGACAGAGACCAAGAGTCGGGTGATAAGTAGAAAGACTGCCTTGGAGAATTCTGCTTTAGTGTTCTTTGTTATTTTACAGAATACTAGTTCAAAACTTTGGGTCATACTTAATTCTTCTCTTTTCTGTGACCCACATCCCAAGCACTGCCATGCTTCTGCTATCTGTCTGTGCATTCTTTCTGCATATATAAGTATTACTGACACTTCCCTACTCTAGGCCTTCATTACCTCTTAAAGAGAAGCCTAACCTTTCTCTGCCTTCAGTTTACCCTCACTCTAATCCAGGTTACACGTGACTGCCTAGATCAGGCGTCCCCAGACTTTTTTCACAGGGGGCCAGTTCACTGTCCCTCAGACCGTTGGAGGGCCGCCACATACTGTGCTGCTCTCACTGACCACCAATGAAAGAGGTGCCCCTTCCTGAAGTGCGGCGGGGGCTGGATAAATGGCCTCAGGGGGCCGTTGTTTGGGGACGCCTGGCCTAGATCATCAAGCCCAAAACTTTTTGCTATCTTCCTACTGGACACTGAAGAATAGGCAGGCATTTTAGTCAAGTATTCAAACACTCTGTAATCCATCCCCCACTTACTTTTCCACTTGGGTTGAACCTCACACGACTCCAAGTTTTTAGATGACTCTTTTTCCTCTTCTTTTTGGACTATTTGCCACGATTGTCCCTAAATGTTCCGTTGTTAAATATCTTTTAGACTTAAGCCAAATGCAACATCCTCCACAGAGCAAGCCATCTCAAATTCTTCTTGATTTGTAATATTGCCTGTCTCTGAACGTTCATAGCTGTTGGCAATTCCTAGCTTAGGCTCCTTGTTACTTTTTACATTGTCATGGTTATTTATTTACAAGTATTATCTCAATTAACAGACTCTACACTTTCTGAAGAAGAGTCTTTGGTTCAACTTAAATGTAAAACCCAAAGCTATAAAAACCCAAAAGAAAGTCCAGGCCATACCATTCAGGACATAGGCATGGGGAACGATTTCAATGATGAAACATCAAAAACAACTGCAGCAAAAGCAAAAATTGACAAATGAGATCTAATTAAACTAAAGAGCTTCTATGCAGAAGAAACTATCATCAGAGTGGACAGACAACCTATAGAATAGGAGAAAAAATTTGCAATCTATTTATCTGACAAAGGTCTAATATTCAGAATCTACAAGGAACTTAAACAAATTTACAAGAAAAAAACCAACTCCATTAAAAAGTAGGTAAAGGACAGGAACAGACACTTTTCAAAAGAAGACATTTATGCGGCTAAACAAACATGAAAAAAGCTCAACATCTCGCGCCAGTTAGAATGGTGATTATAGAAAACTCAAGAAGCAACAGATGCAGTTGAGGCTGTGGAGAAAAAGAAACAGTTTTACACTGTTGGTGAGACTGTAAATTAGTTCAACCATTGTGGAATACAGTGTGGCAATTCCTCAAGGATCTAAAACCGGAAATGCCACTTAACCCAGCAATCCCATTACTGGGTATATACCCAAAGGAATATAAATCACTGTATTATAAAGACACATGCATGTGTATGTTTATTGCAGCACTATTCCACAATAGCGAAGACATGGAATCAACTCAAATGCCCATCAATGATAGACCGGGTAAAAAAAATATGGTACATTCACACCATGGAATACTATGCAGCCATAAAACGGAGTGAAATCCTGTCTGTTGCAGGGACACAGATGGAGGTGGAAGCCATTATCCTCAACAAACTAATGCAGAAAGAGAAAACCAAATGCCACATGTTCTCACTTATAAGCAGGAGTTGAACAATGTGAACACATAGACACAGGGGTGAACAACACACACTGGGGCCTGTCAGGTGGGGCAGGGTGAAGGAGCGCATTAGGAAAACTAGCAAATGTATGCTGAGCTTAATATGTAGGTGATGGGTTGATAGGTGCAGCAAATCATTATGGCACATGTTCACCTATGTAAGAAACCTATGTACTGTACATCCTACACATGTACCCTGAAACAGTTTTTAAAAAGTCATTGGTTCATCATCATAGACACAGCATCTAAAATAGTGTGACTACATAGTAGGCACTAAAATATGTTTGAAAATGGGAAAATGAACGAACAGTTAAAGGAGCTGTAATACCTAGACATACATTCTAAGATACAGTTTGTGGAGGTCAATATCACAGTCTCAAATCTAGTTAAAGATAGATTCATATTTACTTGACATTTAACAGAAACAACTGTGTTATGATTAGACAGCAGATTACAAGTACTTGGGAGAATAATTTTTAAAAGACAAAGTTGGTGATTTGAAATTTTTTTCAAATTTCTGTATCTCCCAGCAGTCAGTAGTCAGTACCCAATTTGCTTTCTAAGGCATTGTCTAGTGATAACGAGATTGTTAAAGCACATGGTTTTCATGAAAAAAATTCCTTTTATTTAGGATGCAGAAGATCTCTGAATCCAAACTATAGTTCAGAAAAACACCTCTAAGGATTACTTGGAATATTTAAAAATATTTTAAATGGTTTTTACAGATTAAATATTTTTTTGTGTGTGAGAAAATTAGTTTCTCATAAAGAAAAAAAGAAAATTGAATTTTTTTCTTTTACAAATGGGAATCACCTGAAGAATAATTTACATTACAGTTTCAGCTAAAGTTGATAGAAATTACCAACTGACATAAGCTCAGGCAGGTTTCTAACATTATAGAACAACTTAATTGGAACAGGATGTGTGTGGAATTGTTATGTCAACAAAAATGTCTTAAGAGTCCTTCGATTTGAGGTAGACTGACTATCTTAGAACTTTGATTTCTGGAAACTCTAAGTTACAAATTGGGATAAAAAGAACAGAGGTAGAATTAACTCTGAATTAAAACCACAAGAGAATAAGAATGGCAAGTCACTGCTCCCTATTTTCAAAGTATATGACTTTCTAAATGAAATTTTAAGTGAAGAATATGAGAAGATAAATGAAATAATATACAACAGTACTTTATGCAATGGATATTTTGCCAAAAGTTATAAAAAGAGAATTTTTGAAATGCAATTCTTATTTTCAGTAATGCAAGATTGTTGACTACTTAGAGAATGCTTAAAATCTGCCTAACAAGGTCAGGGTTTTGGGCTCCTTTAGAAGAACGTTTTGGCCTACCTAGCAAGGATATTTCAGGTCTCCTTCAGGCTGCAGGGCACTGTAGTGTGTGCACGTTCTCCATCCACTTCTTGTGGGCCTTTTCTTTTTTCTTTTGGAATATCTTCTTTTTTTAACTTTTATTTTAAGTTTAGGGGTACATATGCAGGTTCATTGCATAGGTAAACTTGTGTCATGGGGTTTGTTTTACAGGTTATTTCATCACCCAGGTGTTAAGCCTAGTACTCACTAGTGATTTTTCCTGGTCCTCTCCCTCTGCCCACCCTCCACCCTCTGAAAGACCCCAGTATGTGTTATTCCACTTTATGTATCCAAATGTTCTCATCATTTAGTTTTCTTAAAGTGAAAGACTTTATTCCTTTCTAATTTCTCTGTTTTGAAAATGGTTGTATGGTAGGATTTTAAAATCCCAATTGCCTCAAAAGCTTTTAAAACTTTAGATGGCCATTGCATAATGAAAGTTCTATTTTCTGACAACGTACTATCAAAATATACATTTTCTTCTCCTCCTATCTGAACTACTCCTACTTGGCTGTTTTGTTTTGTTTCTGAAAGGTGAAAGCCCCCAGAGTTTAGTGCATTTGATTTAAGCCATTAAAACAGTTGAGGCTCTGTTGGTTTCTTCGGAAAGGCATGACTATTACATTCTGCATTAATGCTTGAGTGC